TAAAATGTTGCAAATTATGTCTAACAAGGATTTATTTGACATAATCTGCCAATTGTTATTGTTATACAGGATTGATATAGCGCCAACAGTTTACACAGCACTTTACAGCATTAGTGCAGGCAGTACACTTAAAATACAAATGAATACAGGAGGATCGAGAGGGCCCTGCTCATTAGAGCTTACAATCAATCCACTAACGATCTCTATGCTGGGTTGAAAAGAGATCTCGTATTTATGGTTTATGAAACACAGTATATTGCCAAAAGTATTGAGATGCCTGCCTTTACACGCAGATGAACGTTAATGACATTCCAGTCTTAGTCCGTAGGGTTCAATACTGAGTAGGCCCACCCTTTGCAGCTATAACAGCTTCAACACTTCTGGGAAGGCTGTCCACAAGGTTTAGGAGTGTGTCTATGGGAATGTTTGACCATTCTTCCAGAAGTGCGTTTGTGAAGTCACTGATGTCAGATGAAAAGGCCCAACTTGTAGTCTCCACTCTAATTCATCCCAAAGGTGTTCTGTCAGGTTGAGGTCAGGACTCTGTGCAGGCCAGTCAAGTTCCTCCACCCCAAACTTGCTCATCCATGTCTTTATGGACCTTGCTTTGTGCACTGGTGTGCAGTCAAGTTGGACCAGGAAGGGGCCATCCCCAAACTGTTCCCACAAAGTTGGGAGCATGAAAATGAAAATGTCTTGGTATGCTGACGCCTTAAGAGTTTCCTTCACTGGAACTAAGGGGCCAAGCCCAACCCCTGGAAAACAACCCCACACCATAATCCCTCCTCCACCAAACTTTACACTTGGCACAATGCAGTCGGGCAAGTACCGTTCTCCTAGCAACCGCCAAACCCAGACATATCCATCGGATTGCCAGACAGAGAAGTGTGATTTGTGACTCCAGAGAACACGTCTCCACTGCTGTAGGGTCCAGTGGTGGCATGCTTTACACCGCTGCATCCGACTCTTTGCATTGCACTTGGTGATATATGGCTAGGATGCAGCTGCTCAGACCCCGCTGACCCCCGCTCTGTCACTTTATGTGGCCTACCACTTCATGGCTGAGTTACTGTTGTTCCCAGTTGCTTCCACTTTGTTATAATACCACTAACCGTTGACCGTGGAATATTTATTAGAACATTTCATGAATGGACTTATTGTACAGATGGCAACCTATCACAGTACCATTCTTGAATTCACTGAGCTCCTAAGTGACCCATTCTTTCACAAATGTTTGTAGAAGCAGTCTGCATGCCTAGGTGCTTGATTTTCTACACCTGTGGCCATGGAGGTGATTGGAACACCTGAATCCAATGATTTGGAGGGCTGGCCCAATACTTTTGGTACATTTAGTGTATGTTCACTGGTCATCAAGTTAGGTCTATTCTGATACTTGTTGCTGTTGCCTGCAGATCTATGCAATCTATGCAGCTCTAACTACAGCTGCCTCCATTGTTCCCGTAATCTGTGTATAGGAATGAACATTAATGCGCCAAGTTTTTGTATTTTTGCGCTCACCTTTTAAAGTAAATAAAAAAGAGATGCCAGAGGACGGATTGTGCCTGTGGGTCTCCACTCCTTTAATATCTGTGAGCATTCTTAGTTAAAGGTTAGTTCAGACTTTTTGGCAACTGCGAGTACAAAGTGCATAGCAGTTGTTTTGGATTTTAGTTTCCTTGGTAAGTAATGGAACTATTCTAATTGGTCATGGGCTGATGAATTTTAGACTTTTTCACTCCATAAATTATCTCTTTAGAACCTTCACAAAAATGGATTTTATTAAGCAAGTCCTAGATGAAAAACCTAACACAAATTCTTGTTGATTGTCAGATCATTTGTTTTTATATCACTAGTGTGCCTGCTGTGACAAATGATTTAACGTGCTGCAGTCAAAAGTGCCTGATCCAACATGCTGGGTTTTTGTTTTGTTTTTTCTGAAAAACAGAACAAATGTTGGCACAATACGTATGCACCACTTTGGTTTTTCGATTGGCAGAATGTTTGGTTTTCAACTGGTCTATGGCCAGCATTAATGTTACTATACAGAAAAAAAAACTCTTGAATAAAATTATTTTAGAAACATTTACATAGCAACAATACATTGCTTAGCTAGCCAGTATTATGTAGCGTATTAAATGCTGCAGTTGAGCAAGAGGTTGGAATTCAGGAAGGGTATACTTCTTAAAATGTCTTCAAATGAATTAAAATGTATGAAAGAACTATACAGTTGACACTTGGTGAAAAAAGCAAATTGCTCATACTCAAGCGGAAACATTCAATGCATCTTAATCACATCTAACCTTTGCCTTTTTAACCATTGTTGAAACCATTTTATCCCTGACTTGAAAGTGTTGCTAAACCCACAACAATAAAATCAGTCTGTATATGCAGTAAAGCATGCTTGTTATACTCACTGTGGAACCTAAGGGGTTAATCCTCTGCATTGTGTAAAAATGCTGTTTGAACCTGACTTCTCTGATCCTCCTGTTTTTCCAGTGCCCCCCTCTTATCTCCTGATAAGACATATGTGTGGAAACACTCTGCACATGCTCAGTTTGGTGTGCATTGTTAGAGAAGTTTTTTGTTTTTCTTGGGAGAGTGCATGTGATCAGCACAGGGCCAATCGGCACTGTCCAGAGGTCAGGGGTTCTGCATCCTTCTAGAGCAGAAAGAAGCTTTATTCAGTGCTCTGCTCAACACTGATAGAAGTGGCAAGACTGCTCTGCTGATGGGAAAAGGTATTTAGCAGTTTATATTTACTAAAATAATTACATTTCCATGTTGTGTGTACTGTGGGAGACCAGATAGAGTGAATGTAGGATCCTGGGTTTAGTAACACTTTAAGCCCCTTTCACAGTATACCCCCAGTTTTTCATTTACATTTTTGTAACCCTAAAATAGCAGCAATAACTGCAAACAGTCTGACTTAAACGTAATTTTTACATTTGGTTCCTAATGAATGCTTTAGCGAATTACAAGCTGTGTTTAAACATTATATTTTACAATGTTGATGACCAAGATTAATCCTTTATAAACACATAATCTTGGGTGTGGACCTTGCTTGTATGTATTACTTCCATTCTTGGCTGTCACTAGTTATATTTATATGAGTCATAGCAACACAAATATTTCCTCATGTAAACTATTCTGTAATGGAACAATTTTTTTTATGTAAACCTCCCTATGTAGAAGGCTTATGTTGTCATTTTAGATTTGGATTATTTTGATCACAAATCTGGAGGCTATAGTTAAAAGCTCTGAGTGCTGCATATTGAGTAAATAAAAATCCTCTTCAAGGGTCTATACATTTTTACAGTGCTATTGAATGGGATGACAGACTCATTGGGGTTGATTTACTAAAACTGGAGATTCAAAATCTGGTTTAGTTGTGCATGGTAGCCAATCTGCATCTGACTTCAGCTTGTTTAATTAGGTTTTGACAAAAAGAAAAAAGGCTGACTGCAATATCTGGTGCTGCTCTGCATGGTAACCACTCTCCAATTTTAGTAAATCCACTCCATTGCGTTATGCCATCCATAATCTGTATCATTGGTTTGATTGTATTTGTGTGGGTATTCACACAGACAACTATGGCATCTGTAAAACACTTGGCACCAGCATTTTGTTGCTTGAGTAAACCGAGATTAACAGTTTTCTGAGTCTTGGAACCTTTTGTGTCCCATGTGCTTACTTTATTTTGGGTTAGAGAAAAATGAGCTTGTAGGATCTCTTTAAAGACTAATACTACTAAGCATAGTATGTGGATCTCACTGAAATATGGTGAACTCTGCATATATTGACTGACTGCTAACCACATGATCATATATATTAGAAACTGGCTATTTCAATAAGATTTTTGTGATTTACAAATTACCTTCCAATTGAATAAATTTAGCAGTCATGTGTATGACAGATTTTTGCTGGTTGTCTTCCATTGATTACTGTATTGGATTACAGGAAACGACTAAACACACATATGAAATACACATGGATTCAAGCTTATTTGACTGCCAAGAATATGTATTTCCCTCCATCCCACTCTTGAGATTTACAGGACACAGCTGTGCAACACAGTACAGCCCTATCTGACATGATAGGAGACCAGATTTTTTTCTCTTCTGCAATTAAGTTACGCAGTTAGGTCTTATAACTACCTCAGCCTGTGCACAGACAGTAAAGGTCAGTTCACACCACATGCAGTCCAGTGCATTTTTTTTTTTTTTCTGCTTCAAAAATACATTGATAGTAGGTTACATGATTTCCAATGCCATAGTTCACACCAGTGTGGTCAGTTCCAGTGTGTTCCAGTTCCAGAAAAAAAGTAGAACCTGCTGCATTTTTTTTTTCTGCACTGAACCGTATAAAAAACACACATGTGCTTATTTAAGTTGAAGAAAAAGAGTGGGGAAAAAAATGAACCAGAAAACATCAAAAATGCATTGGAACACATACAAAAAATGTATCTAAACTGCATTTCAATGCTGTGAACCAGCCCTGAAGGGGAAGCAGCACACTGAGTTAATCTGCTGTCCAGTGGCTTGCAGATTGATACAGTGACTGATCACTTTGATAGCCAGTCAGAGGCTATCACAGCGATCGGGTGACCCAGAATCGGGAGTTCCGTGTCCTGATCTTTATAACAGGACCCAGGGCTTTCAGTGAAACCCTGGTCTCTGTGCTGGTAGCGCTCCTGTGCAGCTCACTCCCAGTACAAATACAGGTACGCAAATTAGCAGCCCCACAGAAAAAAGCCCAGTCCAGTGGGGCTGGCTGCATATTTGTGTACAGTCGGCATTAAGCAGTTAAAATACTTTTAATGATGTGTTCATTGGGGCATTCATTTTTTTTAATCTGCCTGGGGTTCAGCTTTAAAAATGATCTTCCTTACTATGATGGAATGATATTCATAACTAAACTCTGACATTTGAAATGTACTGTATATCTAGCTCTGTGTCTATATTGGAGTAAACCTAATTTTTTGCTTTTTTTTTTTTTTTTTCCAGGAACAGTATTTTGAAAACCTGTCAAGAAGAAAAGTAGTCATGGAGAAGCATGCAAACCAAAGAAAACTTCGTGTATGCGTGGCCACCTGCAACAGGGCCGATTACTCCAAGTTGGCTCCTATTATGTTTGGTATTAAAGCAGAACCAGAACACTTTGAGCTGAGCGTAGTGGTTATAGGTTCTCACCTGATTGATGACTATGGGTAAGGGCAATGTTTATAAAATCAGTCTCCTCTCCTAATAATTTTTTCCTTAACTACGAGACAGTGAGGACTGCTGGAAGTCTGAGCCAAAAACACTTGTCATTGTATTTTAGAATGGTAAACAGGGCAAGTTTGGTAAATGTGATGTTGGTGATGACTAGCCTGGCCTCCTTCCTTTTAGACTCAGATACCTTGCTGTGAAGCCTTAAATAAAATTTGACTGCCTGTCTCTCCAGATAAACATTGAGTTTCAAAAATGCAATATCACTGTCCATTTATCTCTGCTGTCTAGGAATACCTACCGTATGATTGAGCAGGATGATTTTGATATACAAGCAAGACTTCATACAATTGTGAGGGGGGAGGATGAAGCTGCCATGGTGGAATCAGTAGGACTTGCTTTGGTGAAACTGCCAGATGTTTTAAACCGACTTAAACCAGACATAATAGTTGTCCATGGAGATCGATTTGATGCCTTGGCATTGGCAACAACTGCAGCATTGATGAACATACGAATCCTTCACATAGAGGGAGGTGAAGTCAGTGGGACCATAGATGACTCAATCAGACATTCCATCACTAAATTAGCCCATTACCACGTGTGCTGCACACGGAGTGCAGAACAGCATCTCATCGCTATGTGCGAGGACCATGACCGCATCCTCCTGGCAGGGTGCCCCTCTTATGACAAGCTTCTTAATGTGAAAAACAAGGACTATATGAGTGTTATCAAGATGTGGCTTGGTATGTGTTTTTCGGCAATAAAAGCTTCACCGTAGTGCTGGATATTTATTGCTTTTAGTGAAAGTATAGCTTGCTACCTAATTTCCATGAATGTCTGGTATTTACTAATATTTAGGGTTTTATTAAGTAGTGGAGAGCTTTTGCGCAGTGGCATTTAGTAAATAGAAAATGGCTTTCGTTGGTTTAAATGGTATATAACCCTAACAGAAATTAATAAATTGCAGCTTGCTAGTCCTTACATGTGTTGGCTGCATTACTAGGATTTTATCTTTAACAGGTGATAATGCCAGTAACACTTCTGTCCTAGAGTGATAACCCACAATTACTTTACAGAATCTAGGGAGCAGCAGCCTCCTTCCTCATCTCCATAATCGGGGGGGTTCTGTATTGTAAACTCACTTCATGATACCATTGGTTAACATAAGACTTCAGGGTGGACAGGGCAGCCCTGGATATCAAACCGGTATTTTTTGCACTTATAAAGTAATATAACCGTACACTATTTTAATGTTATATTTGACCAAAAGGGAGGTAGATGTTATGGTTTACATAAACTTTAACTACACCAACCCAGTAAAAGTGGGTATCTTATTGGTGTGGTGATCCTCTTTAGTAAGACACCATGTAAAAACCAATGAAGAAATCTGTTTTCATTGTTAATGGAAGACAAACTCTATTGTCCATAACTGGTCGTGTGTGTATGTCTTTTGTCGTCGACCATTTGGCCCCCAAGGAATTGCCATGATTCCAAATCGCACTGCAATCCTGGCAAAAACACACCACGGGTTTTTCTGTGACATTAATTTTTAATGGCACATAAAATGCAGTGCAGTTTTGCCACGATTATCGCGCGAAGCTTTTCGTCCAAGAAGGAACAGAAGCTTCTTTTGGGCGACAAACTTGTACAATGCGGTTTGCCACGTGACACTCACTGCAAAACTGCACCATGTTTTAGGTGCCATTTAAAATGAATGACACACAAACACGTATGGTGTGTTTTGCCAGCATTGCAGTGTGATTTGGAATTGGTGATTTCAGTATGTGATCCCAAATCACTAGATGCGAGTGGGTCCTAAGTGACTCCAATTGCTGTGTTGTAGATCAGCTCAGTAGATGTCTGCATGGAGTTCCACAACACTAAGGATCACAAAGTTAGAATGAGCTACTGGAAGTACTGTGCAACCAGGGAATTGAAGTAGAAAGTTAGAACAAAAAACAGAAATGTCGCCTTTTCTAGTTCCTTAACTTGCACTTTGTAATGTTTAGAAATACTGGCAGGAGATATTTAAAAGTAATCAGTAATTTTTTTTTTTTTATCCTGTTAATTGCTCAACATCACACATGTTGACATTGACAATTTACACTTTTTTTTAATAGGTGATGATGTGAAACCTGGTGATTACATTGTAGCACTTCAGCATCCAGTGACCACAGACATCAAGCATTCAGTTAAGATGTTTGAATTTACACTAGATGCACTTATCTCATTCAACAAGCGAACCTTGGTGCTGTTCCCAAATATTGATGCAGGTAATTTTGTGTGGAGGTGTATATGAACTTTTACTTTTTACAGCTGAGATTTTCAGACTTCGTCTGTTTGTTCTAAGTTGGGGGCCTAGTTTACTGTAGAAAAAATTTGTCATTGTGTTGCAGTGGATTAATGATTTTCTGTGCCTTACAGGAAGTAAAGAAATGGTGAGAGTGATGAGGAAGAAAGGTGTGGAGCACCATCCCAACTTCAGAGCAGTGAAGCATGTCCCATTTGAGCAGTTTATACAATTAGTTGCTCATGCAGGATGCATGATTGGGAACAGCAGTTGTGGTGTGCGAGAGGCTGGAGCTTTTGGAACACCGGTCATCAATTTAGGCACACGTCAGACAGGAAGAGAAACGGGTAAATGTCTTTCAACTACACACACATTCTGCTATGTTAAAAGGCTGTATATTACAGATAAATGTCTATAAATACAGCACACAGTACAAGTCTACATTTCATTTGTCAAGCATGAAATATTGAGACTTTTCTACTCTTGTCTTGAAACCACTGATCATTTTATAATTTTTTTTTTTTTATACTCATCAGGTGAGAATGTTCTGCATGTTCGAGATGCGGACACAGAGAATAAAATAATTCACGCACTTCAACTTCAGTTTGGAAAACGTTATCCATGGTAGGTTTAATGTCTCTAACCTATATATTGATTGGACTCTAGGGTCCTGGCTTTCTATATCTTTTGGCAACTTAAAGTGACACTAAACGTTATCTTTATTCTCCATAAATAATCCATACACATTCACTACTCAGTGGACCTGTAATCCATTTTTCATAAAAATTTTCTGTGTTTTTATGCCTCTTTGTAACATCTTCCTTGAGCTCGTAGACCTTACTTTTCCCCCCACTTTAATTTGTCTGGCACTAGTGGTGCACGTTAGTTGTGGCCATGTGCACTGCTCTGTGCAAACTACAAAACCCAAAGTCCATCTTGGGAGTAAGCAAGAGAGAGTGGCTACATTCATACATACAGTGGGACCATGGAAAATAGTCCTGACTAACGACACCACAAAACAACTTATTCATTCCTTGGTTATTTCATGCCTTGACTACTCCCTCACTGGCCTTACCCTTACACAGGCTATTCCCGCCCCCCCCTCTTTAGTCCCCTTTATGATTGCTGCTGCTAGACTAATACACCTTACTAACTGATCCGTGACTGTTGCCAATCTCTTCACTGGCTTCACCTACCCCATCGTATGAAATTCAAAATACGAACCACAGCATACAAGGCCATCTACAACATCGCCCCCTAGCTACATCCCCTCCTGCTCTCCAGCTCCCTTGTTAACTCTTCCCACGCTTGCCTCCAGGACTTCTCCAGAGCCTTTCCCTTCCTTAGGAACTCCGTGCCCCAGTATGTCCAGTCAGCTCCTACCCTGTCCGCCTATATGTGATCCTTGAAAAATCATTTATTCAGGGAAGCCTACCCCACATATATATATATATATATATATATATATATATATTTATTTATTTTTTTTTACTAGTAATGGTGGCAATAAGCGACTTATAGCGGGACTGCGGCTGGCATTCTGACACTGGGGGGGGGCTGACTTGGTGTCACTGACATCCCCAGTGACACCAATATAGTGATCAGTGTTAAAAAAAACACTGACACTGCACTAAAGGAGCTGGGCAGGAAGGGGTTAACATGAGAGGCGATCAAAGGGTTAACTGTGTGCTGGGTGTGTTTGTGCTTCACTGTAAGCACACTGCTTTATATCGCTGTACTGTGCACTGCCATGCAAAGCAGTGTGCACAAGCTGACAGGGAGGAGAACTGTTTTGTTTACAAACAGTTCTCCTCCTCATCGGAGATCCTCGGCAATCACCGGGTGCTGGGACCTGGTGATTGACAGCCACAGCTGCGAATGGCAGCGCTGTGATATATATATATAGTATATTTATAGATATATATATATATATATAATATTATATATTATATTATATATAGATATACATATATTTATTTGATCAGGGCGCACGTGCGCTTTGCACGCGCCCCCTACCCGGAAATGCAAAGTCGTGTGTGTATGTATATGTGTGTATATATGTATGTGTGTGTGTGTGTGTATATATATATGTGTGTGTGTGTGTGTATATATATATATATATATATATATATATATATATATATATATATTTTTATATATATATAAAAATGTGATTTTGTGCACCCGTGCCACCCTGTAGCAGTATTTCTGCTATAGGGGCAGACGGGAAGTGGTTAAGGATTGAGTTTTCCGCAATAGAGTTCAAAGCAATCCCATACCTTTTTTTTAAAAACACTCTTCCTACCATATTGTCCATTATTTACAATACAGTACGCAAAAATGCTTGTATTAACAATAACACCTCTTATAGCTGTAGCACTGGAGTTTCCAAGAGCTACAGAAGCCAGTTTGTTTTTTTTTTAGTCCAACCACATCTTTACCTGTGTGATAATACTGGGCACACTGAACTTTTTTTTTCATATATTTTTTGCTTTGTACAGCTCCAAAATTTATGGTGATGGAAATTCAGTACCGAGAATCGTGAAGTTTCTTAAATCAATAGGTTTATCAGAGCCTCTGCAGAAGAAGTTCTGCTTTCCTCCAGTTAAGGAGAGTATCTCTCAAGATATAGATCACATCTTGGAAACACTAAGTGCCTTGGCTGTTGACTTGGGAGGAACAAATCTCAGGATAGCGATTGTCAGTATGAAGGTATGTGTATGTCATGGCATTAATTATGAATGTTGCTCAGAGCTGCTGTTAATTGTTTGTGTAAATTAGGTATTATACTTTTGGTGAGTAGGTTTTTTGTGTTTTATTACCTAGTTCTGTTCGAGTATGTGACTTTCTGAATATTTCATTTAGAAGAGTGATATCGTGTGTGTGTGTGTGTGTTTTATAATGCATTTATTTTCAGAAGCCACATTGCACAGTACTTAGTAGCTATGACCTAAACTGTGGTCTGTTGCTGGCTATATTTTCAGTTCAGAAGCCCAGCGCATTGTAATTTTGCATTTTGAAATGGCAAAGACCTCCTGCAAAGCCAAGCACACACGTACATATTAAGGAAATTTTATTTGTAGGGAATAATATAGAAAATGCTTACATAATCACTAGGCATCCCAGAGTTGTTTTTTTTTTGATCAAGTCCCAGTCCAGCCACCAGAAGCTAGGAACAGGTCAGGGCGCACCACAAAAAAAAAAAAAAAAAAAGATTTTCAGCCACAAGAAAAACTATCACCAGCCAAAGGCAAGGACCGCATAACCACAGTGCCTCCCAGTGGCAGGAGTGCAAAGAGAAAACAATCATACTCACTATGAAATAGAAAGTTATGCTAAACAGATGCATAGAATAGAAACGTAATCCTATTACATTTGTAATTCTGTATAATTATATAGAATATACAGTATATAAATAGAATGGAAATATGTACTGAATATGTAGTACACATGGGCAGGGGCCTTTATTTAAAGGAAATAGCATCACCAGTTGATATCATGTAGGCAATATATCCATATGAGTTCCAGTAGCGGCCATTTTAATTTTTTTATTTTTATCCTATATCTAGCAATTTATTACTGTATTGAATCAAACGACTGGATTGATGCTTTAAATTAGGTGATTTACTACTGTAATCAATTACCTATGTTGCAGCTGGATGATATGGACATGTTTCAGCATTTTCTAGCTCAGGAAAGTTTTACCCCCTGCATGACCAGGGCATTTTTTGCTATTCGTCACTGCTCTCTGGCAATTGCACGGTCATGCAACACTGTATTCTAATGAAGATTATATAATATTTTTCACACAAATAGCTCCTTCTTTTGGTGGTATTTGATCACCATTGTGTTTTTTTTATTATGTAAAAAAAAACAATATTTACTTTCTGCCATGAAACATATCCAATAAAAAAAAATCAAATTTCTTTATAAATTTAAGCCAAAATGTATTCTCCTACATGTCTTTGGGAAAAATCCCAATAAGTGTATAATAATTAGTTTGTGTGAAAGTTATAGTGCCTGCAAACTATGGTTTATATATTCTGGAAGTTTTATTTATTTTTACTAATAATCTTAATTGCGGTGATCAGTGACTTATAGTGGGACTGTGAGTAATCTGACCCTGACGCTGGGTCGGAACTGACATAACTGACCAGTGACACCTAATACAGTGATCAGTGCTAATATTATACACTGCTACTGTACTAATGGGAAGGGGTTAATATCTAGGGGCAATCAAAGGGTTAACTGTGACTAGTAATGTGTGCTTTTTTTTTTTTTTTTTTTTTTTTTAACAATGTTAATGTATTGTTTTTTGTCTCTTCTTTGCAGGGAGATAAAACAACACACTGTACTCCTGTGTACAGAACCCTGTGTTCTTAGTAAACACATTCATTCAGTAAATCATTCGCTAAGCCGATCAGCAGGTCCCATCTATTAGTCATTGGCCAGGATCTGCTGACTGACTTGTGCTGTAGCAAATGACAGATCAGTATGTGGAAATGCTGAATCACATATATTGTATTCTATGCGTTTCACAGACAGTCCACTATTTCAGGACAATGACCATGTCTTAGAATGAGTAAGAATATATTCAAAAGCATTATACATCTAGGATGAGAGAAAATAAATTAACATGCACATAACATACAAAGCCTAATAACATAGGATATGCTATGTGATTGTTTGTTTATTTTTTTTCTCATCCTAGAAATAAAGTTTTGGAATGTATTCTTGCACATCTTAAAGAAACTTATTGTCTGTGAAGTTTGTGGATGAATACATGTAGGCAATATGTGTTTTTCATGTGATTTTAAGGCTGTGATAGTTTTTTTGATGATTATTAATAAGAATTATTTGTAATAAATATTGTTTGAGACATTTTTGTCTCATGTCTAGTGGTAATCTTTAAATTCCCGTTATTTTTTTGCTTATACATCTAACACCCCCTTCCCCCAAGACTGGCAGTGCTGTTGTCTAAAGATACTCCTGTGCTCCTTCATCTAGAGTGGGGGCACTCTAATACAGGAGGTGTGTTACTGGCCAGATCACCAGGTGAAAACAGAGGGAAAAAAACTAATGCAGCCCCTACATCTGATTGGTAAGCTGCAGTATATTACATTTTGGGTTTAATACAACTTTAAACGTCACTTAGATCATAAAACAAGCTATCCAAATGCTGTCACAGAAAATCTGTTTTGCATTGTTGTGTATATGATAACATTTTTTTTTTTTTTTTTCCAGGGTGAGATAATTAAGAAATATGCACAGCCCAATCCTAAAACATACGAGGATAGAATTGAGTTAATTTTAAAGATGTGTGTCGAAGCAGCTTCAGAAGCCGTCACACTGAACTGCAGAATACTAGGAGTGGGTACGTACTTGCACTATTTTCTTTAAATGCATGTTACTCCTAGATTGTAAGCTCCAAGGAGCAGGGCCCTCCTTTCCCTCTTGTATTGTTGCTGTATTGTCTCCCGTTATATTGTAAAGCGCTGAGCAAACTGTTGGTGCTATATAAATCCTGTATTATAATAATAATGTTACAAACTATTATTTTACAAATACGACCTACAAAACCAGAATAAACTTTCTCTGGGAAAAACAATGCAATTTTTTTCTGCTTAAATAGAGAATATAGAATAATGTATCCTATCCAAGCACACTGCAAACACAAATTATCTTTGTAGTAATGGCTCTAATTTAGTTGCATGTGAGCATGAAGAAAATAAATAAAATATATATATAATATAATTGGCAGTACATGAATAGTTTACCTTCTCAAGCAAGGTTGGGTTTGGTGGTGTTTATTTTGTGTAATTTATTTGCAAAGTAAATTGTGACTTATGGGACATAGAATTTTCATGGTTATGACTCAGGTTAGTTGCATGTGAGTTAGTTGCAACAGATACTGGGTACTTGGCAGTACATGATTCGTTTACAGTCTCAAACAAGGATGGGCTTGGTGGTGTTTGAGCATGCTTTATTTGCAGAGTGAACTGTGACTGTGGGACATCTGGTCTTTTTTGACGTAGTTTTATTTGCATAACTTATACTATGTGCAATAAAAATATAAACCTGCTCCAAAGGTTATTTACTTTGATGGAAAATCTTGTCCCTGTAAAATTTTAATGTCACATATTTACAGACAAGCAATAAGACCCTTGTTTGTTTTGTGCAGTGTTGCCATTTAAAGAACTAGTTTACGTTTGTTGCTAATGCTTTTTATGATTTCCTTGCTATAGTTTCACTGTAAAAGGATGATTGCGTGTGTTTTCAGACTTTGAAAGACACTATATAAAGGTGATGTGCAGACTTTTCTTGTCTTTTTATCCATTATTACAGTTATAAGATTATATTGTTATTTCATACAGGTATTTCAACAGGTGGACGTGTAAACCCTCATGAAGGTGTTGTACTTCATTCCACAAAACTGATTCAAGAATGGAGCTCTGTTGATCTGCGAACCCCTTTGTCAGATACACTGCATCTTTTCTTCCAGTGTGGGTAGATAATGATGGCAACTGTGCTGCATTAGCAGAAAGAAAGTTTGGCCAAGGCAAAGGAGTAGAAGATTTTGTGTCCATCGTTACTGGAACAGGTATTTGTTTAGCAATATTTATTGTCCATTAAATTGATTTTGCAACTGTAATCATTTATTTATTTTTTCAGTAAGCGATTGCTCTTAAGTACTACACCTGAGGTTCTCTAAAAAAAAATCTGTTTTGCCTTGGTCATGAGAAAGTATGGCAATTTAGAAATGGGCCAGACCACAAGCTTCCAGGGATACTCAAATCCTTTTTTCACATGCATAATGTAGGTCCCTGAGCCTTGAGGCCCAATTCGCACTTGCCTGCACTCTAAATTGGGCAGAAGTCTGTTTTGTGCGACAGTTGTGTGACATATAGCGTTACGATGTGTTTTATTGCCTCACGCAGCTTTTTTTTTTTTTTTTTTTTTCCCTTTCTTTCATTGTAAAGTTTGTGAAGTGTACAAAGTAAAATTTCACTCATGTCACCACCTAGCAGCTCTGACATGCTGCATAATATCGCACCTCACTGCACCTGCGAGCTGTATTGCAATAAGAGCAGGGCACATAGCAAACCGTTTTCTTTGCACCCCAACTGTGACTGGAGTTTTTCCAGTACAGAAAAACACCAGCCACTGCTCTAGTGTGAACAGGCCCTTATTGTTGTACAAAGAAGCTACAGTTTCTGCTGTGGTCAACACATATTGATTTATTATTCAGAAATGCTATATGTAAAGTGGTTGTAAAAGCTAACGGCTTTTTTATCGTAATGCATTATCTGTGTTAAGGTAAAAATCCTTCTTTATGCATTTCTCCCTCCACAGCCCCCTTTATACTTACCTGCGCCCAATCTCAATCAAGTGCTGTGTATGAGAGCAGCAGCTATGTCCCACCTCATAGGCGCAGAGACATTTGGCTCCTGCTGCTGTCAGTAACAGCCAGTGACGAGGGCAGGGCTGAGCCGCGCTCTGTGTGTCTATGAACGCACAGATCTGGCTGGGAAGCAAGCCCGCACGAGTGTCCCCCATAGCAAGCAGCTTGCTAAGTAAGGCACTCGGTAGAGGAGAGGAACCTGGAGCAGTGGCAAGGGTCCTGAAAAGAGGAGGCTTGGGGCTGCTCTGTGCAAACCATTAAACAGAACTGGTAAGTATGCCATTTTTTTTTATTTTTTAAAAATGTGCCTTTACAATCACTATTATTATTATTGCTTAGGGAGACTTTTGCCAAGACTATGTATATTACTTTTCTTTCTTTTATAGTGCTTTAAGTCCCTCTCTTGCAAAATATAATGCAATCTATTTCTGATTTGTTCGGTAACATATCTGCTACTAATTATTCTGACAGTTCATTTGTTTTCAGATGGTTTGTACTATTGTACTATGTTTTATGATTTTTTCAGGTATTGGAGGAGGAGTGATTCATCATAATGAACTTGTACATGGAAGTTCATATTGTGCTGGTGAGCTGGGTCACATCATGGTGTCATTTGATGGACCAGAGTGTATGTGTGGGAGCCGTGGCTGCATAGAAGCATATGCTTCAGGAATTTCCCTGCAGAGAGAAGCAAAGAAGCTGCATGATGGTACATCCACTTCTATAGTAACCTTTCTAAAGCCTCATGTACCTGTTTTTAAACTTGTAAAAATTTACAATGTGGTGCAGTTTCATTTTAAACTCCTGTCTAAGAGCAAATGCCACATAATGTACATTACTCAGCCAGAAAGCATCTACTGTTCCCATCTCTGATTAGGTGTCACTTTGTTGCTGGGGCCTGATATTTCTTGATGTAATGCGTAATACCTGCCCACTTCCATTCCACGGAGTCCATTAAGACTGGGCAGTGGAATACCAGTTGGACAGCGCTTGTAGTCTGGGAAAGTCAGGGCCCAGTAACAACATGACAGTGAATCAAGAGGGGCACAGAAGAGGCTTCTTCTGTGTCTAATGGCCAAAACACGACAAAAGGATTCCCAGAGTTCAGTGGCCTATCCATTGAGGTCACAGAAGTATCAGTCTGCTTTTAGACACTGCTTTCTCTGATGGATACTTTAGATTAATCCATCTGATAAAGGTTGGGACCTTCAAATGTGTGAATATTATGTACAAAGGAGCAAACCGCTCTATCTGCTAGATAAAAATAAATAACAAATACACCTGATTTTTCAAAAATTTAAATGTTTTAGTCCTGACAACAATACAAATATGTGCAGAAACACTACATTCAGTTTAAAATGTAGTTTCACTTCAAATTAGAATTGTCAGGCTTTTATCTTATTATTTTTTTTTCTTTTAAAGCACTTTGTATGTATGAACTGGCATTAAAGTTGTGATGTTGGGGGTGGATGTTTTGGTTTACATAAATCAGTGGTTGTAAAAACATGGTATATAGCCTGAAAGTTCCCCTATGTAAATATAAATCTGCAGTACTTCTTGATAGCTGTACGTGGTGCTGGTGTTTTTGCTTTCTGCCATTAAACAAAAATAACAATTCACTGTACACTGTACAATATTGCATCCGATTTGATGCTTTATAGCAAGATGTCGTGTGATGACATGGAGCCACTAGCTAGCAGAACAATTTGTTCTCTATAGTTGGAACACGTGCAATTTTTAATGTCATAGAAGTGATGCAGATGCTTTGTTTGAAATGTTTTGCAAATGAGTCGATGGGCAACAAATAAAAAGGCTTTCCAGCATAACATTAAGGACCTATGCATATTTGTCCATTTTCATGCTGAAAACAAAGCATTTCAAATAGAAATCTTTTTTTTTTTGTTTTTTTGTGGTTTTCCCTTTTTTGTTTTATGTGACTGGTTCACATCTCCATACTGCAGTTTAGTATTAAACTGGTGCCACGCACACATAACTGTATTATTACAGTTCAAAACTCCCCATGTAGTTCATCCCTGATGTTAATGACTAACTACAACCCCAATTCCAAAACGCTGTGTAAAATCTTAATAAAAACAGAATGCAATAGTTTTGTAAATCTCATAAACACATATTTTATTCACAATAGGAAATATATAAAATTTAAGTGATACTAAAGGTTCAGATTTTTTTAAAATAATAAACATGTTATACCTACCTGCTGTGTGCAATGATTTTGCCCTGATCCTCCTTCTCAGGTCCCTCTGCCTGCGCTCTTGGAACTTCCCCCATGCTGAATGCACCCAATGCTTGCTCTGGGGTAACTCGTGCATGCTAGCTCCCCAGCTGCCTGTGTGTACATAAGACACACATAAAATGACTTGGGGGGCAGGCGCATGAGAGCAGCAGCTCTCCTAGGTTTCTCCCTTCTCACTGGCTGTGATTGACATGGCTCCTGCTGCTGTCCCTCAGCAAATGAGGGAGAGACCCAGGAGAACCGCTGCTTTCATGAACCTCACTGGATCAGGGTAAGGTGAGTATAAGGGGGGTTGAGGGAGCTGCACACAGTTTTTTTACCTTTATGCATAGAATGCATGAAGGTACAAAAAACCTTTAGCCTTTAGAACCACTTGACCTCTGGAAGGTTTTAACCCTCTTCATTACCAGTGCTTTTTTTTTTTTTTGCTATTCGGCACTGTGCTACTTTAACTGGCACTTGCTCGGTCATGCAACACTGTACCTAAAAAAAGAAATTTTTTTGTCTTTTTTTTTTTTCAAACAAATAGAGCTTTCTTTTGTTGGCATTTGTTTTATATAAATTAAATACAGAAAATTTAGAGAAAACACTTCTTATAGCGTCTTGAATTTGATCAGTCCTGATGTACTGATGACCTATCACACTTTTTCAGGTCCTAAAATGCAAGAATGGTACAAATACCCCCCAGTCAAAGATATTTTAGTAAGAAGCATGGCAAGCTTTTTTGAAGTCACAAGTTTTTTCACAATTGTTTGTTGCAGTACAGCATCATCATATGATTGGTGTGACGGTGATCAGGGATACTGACTGGTGACAAGTTGGGGGGGAATAGTTTTTTTTTTTTTTTTTTTTTTTTTTTGGGGTTTTTTTCTGACATCCTGTCATCAGAGTAGTTCTGTGTTACCATAGTGATGGCCCAGTACTATGCACTGCAATCCGCTGTGTCCGACGGACACAGCCGTTGCAGAGCGCATCGCCCTTGGGGGACGCATATGTGGACCACGGCGTACTGGTACATCGCAGTGCCTGTAAAAGCCAAAAACCAGCAGTAAAATTACTGTTGGCTGGTCGGCAACTGGTTAAACTGAGAAAATGTAACACTATAAGTGATAAAAAGAGGGTCATTTTGAAATTGGCAGCAACACGTCAGGTTCATTGGCAACAGGTCACTAGCCTTGACTGGGTACAAAAAGGGCAAAGAGTCAGGGTGTCTCAGAAGTAAAGATGGGCAGAGCTTCACTAATCGGTAAAAAGCTGAGTCTAAAATTGTCAAACAATTTCAGAATAATGTTCCTCAATGTAAAATTGCAAAGACTTTAAATATATCATCAGAAAAAATGAGGAAGGGTTGTAAGGTTTTTTTTCTCCTTTAAATATATCATCACCTACAGTACATAATAACAAAAGATTTGAAGAATCTGAAGAAATCTGTTGGCAAGGGACAAGGCCAAAACGCAGTACTGGATGTCCGTAATCTTTGGGCCCTAATACGGCACTGCATTAAAAAAAAAAAAAAAACATGGTTCTGTGATGGACATCACTGCATGGGCTCAGGAATACTTCCATAAGTTGCTGTTTTTGAACATAATTTGCTGTGCTATCCAAAAATGCAAGGTAACGCTCTATCATGCAAAGAATAAGCCATATCTGAACATGTTCCAGAAATGTCTTGTCTTCTCTGGGCCAAAGCTCATTTAAAATGGTCTGTTGCAAAGTAGAAAAACTGTTCTGCAGTGAGACAAGTTGAAATCTGACATTTTTTGGCAGCCATGGGTGCCACGTCCTCCGCATTAAAGAGGAGAAGGACCTTCCGGATTGTTATAAGCGCTCTGTTCACATGCCTTCCTCTCTGATGGTATGAGGGTGCATTAATTTGTGTGGAATGGGCAGCTTGCACATCTGGAAAGGCACCATCGATGCTGAAAGCTGTATCCAGGTTTTAGAGCAGCATATGCTCAGGCAAGAATGGGACAGCATTTTTATTCCAAAACTCTAGCAGCTGGTCTCCCCAATTCCCAGATGTTTACAGACTGTTTAAAAAAAAAAAAAAAGGGGGGGGGGGGTATACATTGTTTGTTTTGTTTTTTGTAAATTTGTTGTAAATTTTCAGTTAAGACCAGGAGGACAGTTGACATAATTACACTTGTCAGGTTTAGCAATTATCATTCTTCTAAGTTTTTTTTTTTTTTAAATCGCTCGCCACATATGAATTGGTCACTTCTGCAAGATACTTGCAATTTAAAGTCTTGCTTTATTATAATACGTAATAGGATCTGTTACCTGTATTGAAATAGATCAGCCTTTCTCAACCTTTTAACTTGGATGAAACCTTGAAAAAAACCATTTTTGGTCTTTGGGAACCCATGCTAATAATTACAGTATCTACAGCTCACTGTACAATAGTGGGTGGGTCAGTCAGAAAAATGTTCCTTGCATTGATGGTCAGTGGGGAGAATTCCTCTGTCTGACCGTTAAAAAGATCATTGATGTCAGTGGGAACTTATCTAAGACAAAAATTGCTCCTTGCTCAAGGAACTCCCAGCAACCTCTGAAGGAACCCTAGGGTTTCATGGAATCCTGGCTGAGAGAGGCTGAATTAGATCCTCACAATGACCTTTTCATTTTGGAAGTGACAAACCTTAATCAGTTATGTTTAGTGTTTAGTCGAAGTATATCAGCAACGTCGTCTTTTTTTTTTTTTTTTTTTTTTTTTTCTTTGTTTAAATGCAGCACTAGTTTGTACTGTATTATGCTATGCTTCACTACTTATCATTGCACGCAAAATAAATTCTTTTCTTTTTTTTTTTTTTTATTCTACACAGAGGACTCTCTTTTAGTAGAAGGCATGTCCTTGAAGAATGCTGAATCTGTTACAGCCATTCATCTTATTCAAGCAGCGAAGCTTGGCAACATTAAAGCCAGCAATATTCTCAAAACAGGTACTAACCGTTATCAGTTTAGTCTTATTTTGGGTATTAATATTTAATTAGCTTTCCCAAGTGTAGTATACAAGGGTTGTAAATAATGGGAATCTGTAGAAATGTGGCTATATTACCAAACTACTGGCCCAGTACACTTTTTGTTGAATTGTAACTGATCTGCTGAAAAATGACAAAGGATCCAGCTTGAAGCAATGGTACTATGTAGTGGTGCACCGAAATGTAAATTGTTGAACCAAAACAGAAAATTCAGGATGCACTGGACCATAGCAAAAATGGACAGTTTTAAAAAAAAAAATAAATTGTATTATATTTGACTTTTTAAATAAGATTATGAATTTAAATTAAAATGAATTTTCAGCACCTTTCGGCCAATAGGCTGCTTTCACACTGAGCAGTTTTTGCAGCGCTTTTTGTGTGTTTAAAAAAAAAAAAAAAAAGTACAAGAAAAGCTCAAGAAAAATGCATCCCTTTAAATTCAATGTATGTCTTCACACTGGTCTGTTGTGCTTCCCTTGCAGTGCTAAAAATCCTGCTTGCCACATTTTTGGTGCATATTTGGGAAGTTAAAAAAAAAACACATCTCCCCATTGAGGCCAGTTTCACACCAATGTGTTTTTAGAGCTTTTTGGAGAAACGCACTACAATCTATTTAACATTTCGGCCGTTCATATATCGGTGAATCCCCAGTACTATGCATATACCATGCCTGGCAATTCCTCTGGAAGCTGGAGATCACTGTAGAAGACAAGACAGTAGGCAATGATCTCCATAGGCTTCTGGGTTCCCTGCTGTGCAGGAGCACTGCTGCTTTCTTGAACACAGGAGGTTGCCTACTCTGCATGGGCGCCATTCAAAACACTCTTTGCATTTGCTCAGAGAATGCAAAGCATTCTCTAAATGGACGAGGGGGAGATAATGACATCCCCATTCCAGGTCTTCCAATCAGAAAATGCTTTGCAATCTCTCAATGACATCTGTGCCAAGCAGGTGATCTTCTGTGTTCACAGTGCAGCAGGGCTGCCGCTTGGCACGGGACCCAGAAGCTAGTGTAGATCACTATAGTAGTAGTGCCTTCTACAGTGATTTCCAGCTTCCAGGGGGATTGGTCAGGAATGGCATATGTATCCCAAGCTAGACCAGTGAAACGATGTAAAATTATGCATACCTCTTATTTTAAATTGAGAAGGGCCTCCTATGATTTTTTTTGCATGTGCCCTGCCTACTGTGATGTAAAATAATTAGACAAAGTTAAATCATTTCAGAACTTTTTCCACCTTTTAATGTAACCTATAAAATGTACAACTCCATTGAAGAACAAACTGAAACCTTTAAGGGTGGGAAGTAAACATAAAAAAATGAAATAATGTGGTTGCATAAGTCTGCACACCCTCTTATAACTTGGGATGTAGCTGTGTGTTCAGAATTAAGCAATCACGTTCAAAATCATGTTTAAATAGGCATCAGTACACACCTGCCATTATTTAAAGTGCCTCTGATTAACCCCAAATAAAGTTCAGCTGTTCTAGTAGGTCTTTCTTGACATTTGCTTAGTCGCATCCTACAGCAAAAGCCATGGTCTGCAGAGAGCTTCCAAAGCATCAGAGGGACCTCATTGTCAAAAAGTCTGTCAGGAGAAGGGTACAAAAGAATTTAGAAAGCATTAGATATACCAAAGAACACATAGAAGACAGTCATTAAGTGGAGAAAATGTGTTGCAACAGTGACATTACCAAGAACTGGACGTCCCTCCAAAATTGATGAAAAGACGAGAAGAAAACTGGTCTGGAAGGCTGCCAAGAGGCCTACAGCAACATTAAAGGAGCTGCAGGAATATCTGGCAAGTACTGGCTGTGTGGTACATGTGACAACAATCTCCCGTATTCTTCATATGTCTGGGCTATGGGGTAGAGTGGCAAGACGGAAGCCTTTTATTATGAAGAAAAACATCCAAGCCCGGCTACATTTTAGCAAAAAAACACATCTGAAGTCTCCCAAAAGCATGTGGGAAAATGTGTTATGGTATGATGAAACCAAGGTTTAACTTTTTGGTCATAATTCCAAAAGATATGTTTGGCGTAAAAAAACAACACTGCACATCACCAAAAGAACACCATACCAGTGAAGCATGGTGGTGGCAGCATCATGCTTTTGGGGCTGTTTTTCTTTAGATGGAACTGGGGCCTTAGTCAAGGCAGAGGGAATTATGAACAGTTCCAAATACCAGTCAATATTGGCACAAAACCTTCAGGCTTCTTCTATAGAGCTGAACATGAAGAGGAACTTCATCTTTCTGCATGTCAACGACCAAAAGCATACATCCAAATCAACAAAGGAATGGCTTCACCAGAAGGAGATGAAAGTTTTGGAATGGCCAAGCCAGAGCCCAGACCTGAATCCGATTGAAAATTTGGGGGGTGATCCGTAGAGGGCTGTGCATTGGAAATACCCTCGCAATCTGACAGATCTGGAGTGTTTTTGCAAGGAAGAGTGGGCAAATATTGGCAAGTCAAGATGTACCATGCTGATTCATACCCAAAAAGACTGAGTGCTGTAATAAAATCAAAAGGAGCTTCAACAAAGTATTAGTTTAAGGGTGTGCACACTTATGCAACCATATTATTTTAGTTTTTTATTTTTACTTCCCTCCACCTAAAAGATTTCAGTTTGTTGTTCAACTGAGTTGTACAGTTTATAGGTCACATAAAAGGTGGAAAACGTTCTGAAATTATTTATCTTTGTCTCATTTTTTTACATCACAGAAACCTGACATTTTAACAGAGGTGTGTAGACTTTTTATATCCTGTGTGTGTGTGTGTATATTTGAGGGTATCTAACTCAATACATCCCATGACATTATATCGGCCTTTTTCAACCAGTGTGCCTTCACGCTTCTTGAGGAGTGTCTTGGCAAAATGCCTACAAATTGCCCAAAATTGTATACAAGCCAGCAGGTGGATAAATCCTGCCTTTTTAGTACACAAAGCAACGGGTTTTCATTGTGCACTTTTTTTTACTTTTCTAGCTGTCGGCATCCTAACAACCAATTACATTATCAGTTGATAAGGAGGATGTTGGGTGCATACCCAACATCCTCCTTATCAACTGATGATGTGATTGGTTGTTAGGACATCATTCTTGTTTGCCCCTGTCCGTCAGCACTTGGGGGACCTTTTATAGCATTGCAAAGTCATCCCGTTTTGGCCTAGTTTTTTTTTTTTTTTTTTTTTTTTTTTTTTTTGCCACTTTTACTCACCTTGCACCTATTATTGTTAGTGCACTTGGATGGAACGTGTGCTGGTCATAAGCTTGCCAGCAGTGGAAGCTTCCCATCAGTTCTTTAAACTGTTACTGAACCCACATCAGTAAAATCAGTCTGTATATGCAGTAAAGCATGCTGGTTATACTCACTGTGGGACCTATCTTACTTGCTTCCATGCATTTTCCAATGCAGTAAAAGTGAAAGGATAGTTCACTCCCATTTCCACTATGGCAAAAAACACCCATGCAAATGTTGCCTTAATTGAAATGGGAATCGTTTTTAGTTTTAAAAAAAAATTGTTTGCATTTTACCTTCCATAGGATTTTAGAGACTTTCACTTTACCAATTCAGGGCAACGTGCCAGGTTGTTTTTGAAAGAGGAGCCCCCAACACTGACGTTCACAATGCTTTTGCCTTGCACTGATTCTCTGACAAAGCTATTGGGAAATACCCAATGCTTCCAGGCATGGAGGAGCATGTGACCTTTTCCCAGGAAGAGCCTGTTCAGCATGAGCCGTCAGTTGCTGTAACATGAGAAAAGAAAAAAGTAATCAACCCTATGCAATCTTCACCATAAAAGCTTGCTTCCGTTCAATAATTCAGTGAAGGAACTGTAAAAGTGAGTATCAGCAGGTGGGAGGTTGTTCTGTCCAAAGAACCCTCTCTCTTCTCCCTGAATGTGATAGAATCTTAAATTTTTACTAGAAAACAGAACGGCAACATCATGTGTTCAGTTAGCATTTAGGTGAACCAGGATATAGTAGAATGGTCTTCCTGGCTATGCAGTGCAGTAGATGTATTCTAATCACAATGGTGACTGAACGAAAGTCGTTTCACAGCTGAAATAGTGGTTTATAAACTGTGTTTTTTGGTATTTTGCAAATTCATTTTTTTTTTTTTTTTCATTATATTCTTCCTGTGAGTAGACTACTAGATGACATATATCTGTGAATTTATGGTTTCCTTCTGCCAGTCTAATTTGTTAATTTTTTTTTTTTCACTTTAATGCAGCTGGTACAGCTCTTGGCATCGGGATTGTGAACATCCTGCATACTATAAACCCTTCACTAGTTATACTTTCCGGGGTTCTTGCCAACCAGTACATCAATGTGGTGAAAGAAGTGATACGCCAAAGAGGCCTGGCATCAGTCCAAAACGTAGATGTGGTTGTGTCTAATTTATCAGACCCTGCCCTTCTGGGGGCAGCAAGTATGGTGCTGGATTATACCACCCGAAGGACATACTAATATCTCAAAGCACAATGTGATTTTAACACTTTCCCTGACCATTTTAAACCTTGATGGGAAGCTTCTATTTTTACTTAGAATGAAGGTGGCCACAGTGTTTGAATTTTTTACTTTACAATTTATCTTTTTATTTTTTTAACTATTTTAATATTTATTATTTTAAATATGATTATGACCATTATTTTGGCAAACATTCTTTTGACCTGTTGTACAGTACTTGAACACTTTACAAACTAAAATGTGTAATCAGAAAAGACCAAATGTCTCCACTTGGATATGGATAATTCATACATGTTTTGAGAACAACCATGACGAGTGAGATGAGGTTTTTGTTCTTTTAAAGGGATCAATCAATGGTGCCCTTTAGTATATCTCTAGGTAATTCTCTTTTGTTCATTGGAGTAAACCACTTTCTCTTTAGATCACCTATTGAGTATAGTGCCATCTGCAGGAGTTGGACTCTAGATTGTGGCCAAAAGCCCCCCATACTGTGGAGCAGCTAGGTTTATTACTTCACGTCTGAGAGTTAGGACATAGACATTGTGTCCTGGAAGGACTTCAAGGAATTTACTGGCTGGGTGGCAGGCTGAATAATATAGATCCTGGCAGTTTCCCCAGTTGCTTTTTGTTTTTTTTTTTTTCTTCCCCCTCTGAACTTTGGATAGAGTGGGGAAAGGTTAGGCTTTCAGTCAAAATTGTATTGCTTTCTGTGTCCCCATTCACTTATTCTGGGGACAACTATTTAAAGTGGTTGTAAACGTCAGATATCAAAAGAGAACAAAGCACTTCCCTTACCTGAACTAACCTGAATTCAAAGCAGAAGTCTGGTTCCTCTCTCTATCTGCATGACTCACTCCTATTAGATTAGGCCAACACCATCTTCTTCCAGGAGACAGCCCTTGAGCATGCAGCAGATGACTCATAGACTCAGCTCTGTGTCTCTAAGCCTTTGAAGAAGGGGGGTGTCACATTTCCCCAACCAGCTTTCGGATTACACTTAGCCCAGTGCTCTAGCTCTGCAGTGTGTGTGAGAGTTTAAGTCCCTGCTCCGTTTTCTGCTGCTGAGAAAAATCCTTTCTTCTGCGTGTTATAGAAAGCTGTGCAGGACAGATGGCTGCATATATATATGCAACTTATAATAGAGGATTTGTTTCATTTGTGTATTGTCTTAGGCTAATCACGTCACTGGGTATAAGTAAGGGTTTACAACCACTTTGTTTTAACCCCTTAAATACCACGGGCAGTTGCAGTGTGGTCCCGTTCACTTGAATCAGGAATCAGTTGTGTTTAGTGTACAGTAGTGCCCACTGTGCATCATTTATACACCCCTGGCCACTGCCTTTGTGGCTTAAAGGATGGCATTTGCAGGGGTAGTAAAAACGTAGCTCACCTTAGTGTTTTATATCCCCCCCCCCCACCGCAAGTATAAACAAGCCCTAAGAGGAAAATGAGAGATTTACTTTAACTTCTAGTTGCATCTCTGAGATGGGAAGGGACATCTCAGCAATGATGCAGACAGCAACAATTAACCTGGCAGGGGTTTTAGCCTGTCCCTACTCTATCCAAAAAAAAAAAAAAAAAAACAATTTTTGGTTACACATAAAGTTTAAAAAGATGTGTTCAAAAACTATATTATATTGCTGGAGTTTCAGGTTTTCAAGCATGGCCATTATAAATCAAAAGGAGGCATGGCACTTGATGGACTTTAAAAGAAAAAAATATGCAGTAGAATCCAGCAATAGGAGCAATACCCATGTAATAGAACCCACAACAGATACAATATACAAGATACCAACTGGTTTTTTATCCACTGCTTAAATATCCAGTGTAGGTGGACTCAGCTTTTAAATGGTTCTTTAAAAGAATTTGCTGTGTAATATATCAGTTATATTTAATGTATTTATATTTTGTATGTTTAGTGTAAAATATAAGGTGTTTTTCCCAAAGCTAATGAGGAGCAAGATTGTGCAATAATTAGTTTAGACCTTGGTGTAGTTGTGTAAAAACACAATATAGCTGTAAAATGTTTAGCATTTTTTTTTATTGTAAAGGACATGATAAAACAATAGTATGGGTTTTATAACATTTAAAATCACATTTTACAAATGGGTATTTAGTCTTGGGTTGTGATCATCCTGAAGCTAAAAGATTTTTTTTTTTATCAATCCTGAGGATATAAGCAAATGCAGTTGATTGTTGTGAATTTTTTTTTGTGGTACACACAAAAGGTGCCTGGAAAGTAAATAGCTGCTTGTCCTAAGATCCCAATGGTTGAATCTCACTTATTAGACCAAGGGGAACTTGTGTGCTCTTGGTCCCAGACATGTCATACACTTGAATCATGATCATTCACACTTGAAGACCTTCAACTAAAAGAGGTTTAAAACCTCTTCTGTAAACAAAATGAAAAAGTATGGTACACATGAAAAGCAGTAAAACGTAATACATTTTTTTTACATCATGTTTAATAGTTAATGAACATATTTTGATATAAGTGTATTTGTTTTATGTAGTGCACTCATAGCTGGAGTTTGAGCCTAATTGTAGTTTTTCAGAAAATGTTATATAAATCAGACGGGTGGCTTACTGTTAAATTTCTCATCCTACCCTAGCACCTAGCCGAAAACTCCTATCTTCTGCAGTATGTTGTAGAAGATTGCTGCATTGTGGAAGAGCCAGTAGCCTCTCTGTAGTAGTCTGACATACCCCCTGCTGAGTCTGATCTAGCAGTTTAAAATTAGCAAATCTTATGCTTCCTGCTGATTGCAGTGCTATAGCTGTGCCTCAGCAGGGGGTGTTTCAGGCTGCTGTAGAGAATCCTACTCTGGTCTGTTTACAGCGAACTAAGAGCAGTTTTTTTTCTTTCTACAACATATTTCAGAAGATGACAGTAAGCACTTATCACACACTGGTTTGAACTCCGATTTAATTTATTTAAATTGCTGAAAAAATACAATTGGTTTCTAATGTTTTGTATTGTTTCTAGCGTCTCCCGAGCCATGGTTGCTCACAGGACTGTTTGCATATTCAATTCTGTAAGCTACTGCCTTTTCTGTGTATGCATAGTTCATTAGTGTTTGCTTTTGACAGAGGCCCTGATAATACCCTACTGTATCCAAATCTAATAGTTTAGATTTGGGGCCTAAAATGGGAATCTGATAATAAATAAGCAAACTGCCATTGCTGACTTGTTTATGAAGCTGCTTGCTCTTGGGCTCTGATGCCTATTATGCGTAACTATTTCCTGAGTTACTGATCCCAAGTGAACATGCGTCATGCACTTGCATTGTGTTCCAGGCCATTGGTTTGCCAAGTAGGGAAGGATAAAACAATAGCCCTTAAACATACAAAGTCAGCAATGGTAACATCCATGCTTCTGCTTGGTCAGATCCCCCAAAGATTGTGTACATTCCATTTGCATACCAGAACAATTTTAATGTTGCGTGTTTTCATGTTTCGGTACAAATGTTCATTTATAGAAAAAAAAATAACAATCTGTAGTCCACACATGCTCATAAACCTGTGAGAATGGTTTGTGCTTCTGAAGTTGTGTAAATAAAACTGAAATAATTCTGTTGTCTGTTTACTTCTTCTCGTATCTTAAAAATGATCAATTTGGCTGATGCAGTTTTCCAAATGATATTAGGGAAATGTTTGAATGAGAGATTGCTAGAAAGCAAGGGTGGCTGCATATGATAGTCAAACCTTACCTTATAAGTACAGGATCGATAAAGCCAGATTCCAAGAGCAATGTCTGCTAGTGCCATTAACATGAGATGGGAGACTAATATACAGTTGCAAGAAAAAGTATGTGAACCCCTTGGGATTACGTGGAGTTTTGCATGAATTGGGCATAAAATGTGCTCTGAACGTCATCTAAGTTAAAACAATAGAATAACACAGTCTGCTGAACATAATACTACACAAACATTAGATGTTGCCATGGTTTAATTGCACATAACATGTAAACATTCACAGTGCAGGGAGGAAAAAGTATGTGAACCTTTGGACTTAATAACTGGTTGACCCTCCTTTGGCAGCAATAACCTCAACCAAATGTTTCCTGTAGTTGCAGATCAGAACTGCACAACGATCTGGAGTAATTTTGGACCACTCCTCTTCACAAAACTGTTTCAGTGTAGCAATATTCTTGGGATGTCTGGTGTGAATCGCTCTCTTAAGGTCATGCCACAGCATTTCAATCGGGTTAAGGTAACCCTTCCCAGCTTCATGCAAGTCAACAATTCTTGATCATAGGTCTTCTGAGACCTCTTTTCTGCGAGGCATGGTTCATATCAGACAGTGCTTCTTGAAACCGGTAAACCCAAAACAGGTGTGTTTTTTAAGAGCAGGACAGCTGTCAGCAACACATCCAATATCATCACACTGATTGGAGTCAAGATTGGCTCACTCCTGGCTCCAATTAGCTCTGGGAGAAGTCATTAAGCTAGGGCCTCACATACGGTTTCCTCCCTGCACTGTGAATGTTTACATGTTATGTGCAATTAAACCATGGCAACATCTAATGTTTGTGTAGTATTATGTTCAGCAGACTGTGTTCTTCTATTGTTGTGACTTAGATGACGTTCAGAGCACATTTTATGCCCAAATCATGCAAAACGCCACATAATCCCAAGGGGTTCACATACTTTTTCTTGCAACTGTATACTGTATATTATACATTCAGATCAGTCCCTGCCCTCAAGTAGCTTACAATCTAAAGTCCCTCTCACAGTCATACATACACCCACTAGGGCCAATTTAGACAGGATCCAATTAACCTACCAGCGTGTCTATGGAGTGTGGGAGGAAACAGTACTTTTTTTGAGAGCTTTCTTTTGCTATTTAATCACTGAATTTTTAAATTTTTGCTATATAAATGAAAAAGACCAAAAATTCACTAATGTGTTCTGCTGGGGCAGTTTCCCTTGCTGGGGGATTTTCTACAGAAGTGGGCTTCTATTCCTGTAATGACTCTATCTCCAGGTTGAACTAGGTAT